CTCTCCGTGCTCTTTTCTCCTCGTTCTTCCTTCGGGGAAGAGTCTGGCAGCTCGATAGAGTGTAACACGACAAAAGAATGGATTAGCTTCCGGTGCGAGAGAAAAGATTCTCGCGCGATAGGTAAAGTTCAGTGTCGAGTGCACTGTGCAATGCAATGAATCAGTCTGGATGAAGGCCAAACAGAATGCAGAACAGAATCCTGATGTTTTGTCTCCACAGTTTTCATTGAAGTTTCATTAAGTCGTGATGATGCCTTGTTTGCAGTAGCATTGTAGTATTTTTTTTCTTCATTGTCCTTTAACCGGAAACTGAAAGGAAAGGTGAGATCGAAGAAGAGGGAAGAGGATACAGCAAATAAAAGAACAAGTTCCTGGTTCGAAATTGAATTCTCGTAGACGTGCCTGTCGCGTGTTTATCCATCGTGACGCAAAATAACGTTACGAAATTACATTTCCATAAATTCGCATAACAAAATCTAGTCCGGCAGCAAATGCTAATGGAAAGTGCCGATGTAAAAAACCAACGTAGGGAAATTAAGAGGAAGAAAATAAATAATTTTGACGTAAGATTCAAAGCGAGGTTAAAGTCAGTTGAAATTACATCCGGTAAAAATCTCGGAGAACAAGCGAGTCATTTTCAAATCGACCAATCATTGTCCAAATTAAAAATATAACCACCGTGACATTGGCGGAACGTAATAGTGAGTCATTCATTTCTCTGAACGACAAGTTGCACGGTAATTACGAAATTCAAACGCTTCTTCTATATATGATACTTTTCGCTTCCAAGTGGACGATTCTCCTAAAATTTTTATTTATACCTACGATCGAGAAAAAGATGAAGAATTTACTTGTTTGCACAATTTTTACACATGTTGAAATAACAGTCTATTTGAGAAGAAGGAAGCATAATTAAATTATATGTAAAACAGGCGTTGTTGCACAAAATATACATGTCATCATACAGAGATTATTTGTACGTGTAGCGTAGCGATTGCAAACCATCATATTATTTTTTTTTCTCTCGTTTCATCTTTCCTTTTTATTTCTTTTTTTTTTTTTTCATGGTTATTTTCGACAGAGCTGCGGTTGCACAAGCCCGCACTGTCATTCAGATAAGCTCAGAAGCAGAATAATTAATAACAGCGATTAATAATCACAAAGAAAAAAAAAAAGAGTAAGTAAAAAGAAGAAAAAAGTATCGTAGATAGAGAGCGTATTGTGCTTGCTAACTCGAGAGCAGCGAACGAGAGTGAGGAATGGAAATCATTTCGGAAGAACGCGTTCCACTTTGGTTAGATTGTCTTTTGATTCTGGCGAATCGCCAAATGCCAAGAAACTCGTTGTGATTACTGGTATGTGACTCGCGGTGTGATTCTCGGCCCTGAACTTAGCCATATTGCAACGTGTGTTCCAGAAAATCGTTCGTTGCGATGATTTGCGTAAAAAGTAAGACGAACAATAAGTTAACCCTTCCGGAGACAGTTGCTACTAGTTCTTTTTTTTTTCGAACAGTTGCTAGCCATATTTTCTCGTTCATTTTACTTTCTGTATCTACACATGTATGTTAGTATGTAAGTATGTATCTACATATTTATTGTTGGACACAATGCATATTGTGGTGGCGTCACTGCAATGTCAACTACTAACGATATTCACACATTTGTACCTGCGATATTTCAATGAAACATGAGAGAAAGAGAAAGAGATAAACGGAAACGAAAATCTCTTGAATACGTCAAGAATGCGCGTTGCATTATTAACAGAGTGTTATTGAATTTATTGAAATTTATCTAATTACGTATATGTATTGTTATTTACCAACCATCGTCGAATGATCGTGGGGAAGTGGATTTAGTTACGCAACGAATTATCATATGAATCCTATTCCGATAAAAATTGAACAGGTTGTCGATCAAAATACAAAGTATCGTATTTATTACAAAAACGGGATAACATGACGAATAATTTAATCGCGATTATTAATATGAAATTATAATAAATAATTTTATCGCGATGAGTATTGTTCTGATGGCTCGACGTTTGATTTCTAAAAACTTTTTGAATTTTCCGAAAGATGGCCGATCGAATTAAAAAAGAATTACGTTGCATCTTCCTTCAAGGTCGTCCACGCACGACTGATGAAGCAATAATGAAATGATTTCTCGTATCCGAAAGCACGCGATGTTTGCGTGCGCGTAATTCCACGACGATCCAAATTGATATTCGATTATTTTTCGTCGAGTCTTCGTGGTTCACGCCTGACAACGTTTAAAACACGATGCAACCTTGATCCACGGAAAAATGACGAGCACGTACGGGTGTGAAAATGTTAAGCGCTCGCACGCATCGCAAACTTTCATTAGAGTAAAGTTCAGCGTTTAAAATACTTTCGCTATTTTAAGAAAAGCGTACAACCGAACTTTAACGATCAACTTATCTCTCGGCTAACTAAACTGTAGACTTGGAAAATCAATGCATTAACGTCAGGTTGATTTCCTTCGAAGTCGATTGTATTGGTTGTTCTTAATTCGTATATCTACGTGCAGTTAAACCGGTGGAATTCCTGTTTTCAGATCCGTTGAGAGTATTCAAAGGACGCGGCACACTCGGATTCCCACGTGGTCACGTGACGTTTCAGCCTTATTGACCGACGTGTATCGGAAGTCGGATTGGTCAACGCTGTGCACGTGACCTATTCTAACGTCAATTTCGACTACCGTCTGCTGGTAGTCGGCTGGATAGATTTCTCACCGAGCAAACGAGAGAGAACGAACGATTTAACTTCGAATCCAGTTAGTCCACGCGTGAGTGTATTCTGTCAAATAGATACATCGCTTCTCACCAGTTTTGAACGTGTCTCGACGCGCATCGATAAACTCGTTGTAGCTCTGCGACGGTCGAGGCATTTGCCCGGCTTCGAATCCTTGACAGTTCTCTCTCGTCTCGCATTGGCGACGGATTCTCGTTGAGAATCGTTCGATACTGATCCGAAGCAAGAGTTCACGGTTAAAACCTTGTAACTGGTAGCGACGAGTAGTGCACAGGTCACGTCGACCCTGACAAATGCCATCGAGGAACGGCACGTCTCGATGTGGTTAAGTCGTCGTCTCTTAAGCTCAACGTGTCCGAACTGGATGCTCGTCTCCACGGAAGACGTTTGAACGACTGGATACAGAACGACTGCCCGGGCTTCGCGGCGATTTCCAACCTTCTTCTCGTCGCGGTCACCGCTTGAAAACGCGGACCGGTGAAAATATCTCGACGGAGACATACATTTCGGGACGTGATTCGAGACGTGATACGTTAGTGTAAGATGTACAGTATGAACTACATTGGCAAGTTCATAAGCAACTTTCGTGTTTTCTACAATGAGATCAACGCGGCGACGCTCACCGGTGCCATCGACGTCATCGTCGTCGAGCAACCGGATGAATCGTTCACCTGCTCGCCTTTCCACGTCCGCTTTGGGAAACTTGGTGTACTACGTTCCAGGGAAAAAATAGTAAGTCTCTGTTTGCCTTTATTCCACGTCTATCTCTAGTGTTTTTCTAACAACTTTTTGTTTCTTGTTATCTATATATATATATTCAAATCTTTTGTAACACTTGTCTTTCGCACAATATCCCCAACAATGTTCTATTTGGTACAAAATGTAACGTAAGACTAGTCACAGAGGAGGAATAATTTGTTTCTTATCTTCTCTTGACAGGTAGACATAGAAATAAATGGAGAGCCTAGACAAATCCATATGAAATTAGGAGACTCTGGAGAAGCCTTTTTCGTGGAGGAAGTTAGTTCACACGGTTCTCCCACTGACACTGAAATTCCACCTCATCTGGCTTGCTCTCCCATTCCCGAAGATAATTGTTTCCCATCAGCTAGATTCAATATACTTTCTGATCTGCCGCCGGAGCAAAGAGACAAGATTGTTATAGAGTCCATCTTGTCAGTTGAAAGAGAGAAATGGGAACAAATGTCGGCTTTACCAGTGGACGAAAGGGAGAAGTTCTTAATTGAACAGTTCTCTGACCTTCCATCAGATCACCGTGCAAAGTGGCTTCAAATTGCTGCTCTGACTTCAGAGGAGAGAGAGGAAATGTTCAAAGAAATATTTGGTGATATTCCTACGGCACAGAGGCAACAATTAATTTGCGAGCAATATTCCGCTCTGAAGAGTGAGGATAAAGAGAGATTGTTCAAAGAAAATTTTCCAGAACTTTCTGTTGATCAAAGACAAAAGTTTGAAAAAGCTTTGCTGGGCAACTGGAAAGGAAAAAGCGGTGAAAAACAAGATTGCTTGAAAAGTGAGGAAGAAATTTTTGACATGGATGGCATTAACGATGACGAAACCTGTCCAACTACACCCAAGTCTTTTGTGGCTGTGACTTCGTCTGAAAGGATTCGTAAAATTAGCGTAGTAAACAATGACTTTAGACCAATCACGGAAGATGTGCAAAGTAGTGGCAGGGAAAAGTCGAGTGACGAATCGAATGCGTCGACGAGTAAAAAGAATTCAAAAGACGAAAGCATCGAAGAAAATAAGAGCAATACCAATTCAACTAAGAGGAAACGCAAGAGAAAAAGCATTTTAAAAAAGAAAGGATCTCAGAGAAAGGCTAGTAATGGTAGTAGTAGTCAGACAGAGATAAGTGAAAACGATGCTCCTACAGATGAATCTGTAAGAACTCTTGGCGAATCTGTAAGTAGTGTTGTATTTATAGAATTAATTATTCAGCCATCGATTTAGCGTCATGTATTAACATATGTATCAATTAAAGTTGAAGGATTCACATCCAACTGTGGGGCAAGAAGGAAAAAATGAACCTATAATTTCAACTCCGGAAACAACGGACAAACGCCCTGAAACAGACTTCCATTTCTTCAGTGATACCGAAGTTACAAAGTAAGTTTGCCACGTTTGTGTATATGTTACATATTACATGTTACTCTGTCTATGAATGTGTATAAAAGTTAAGGGTTACATATAATCATACATATACATATGCATAATATTATAGAAATTGTGAGACAGGTGTATTCGCAATGCATACTTACATGTAAAATTAATATTTTTACCGTTTTATTGTCATCATATTTAATAGGAATCAGGATTCTAGGCCATGTTCACCTGTTCAATCTGACACAGAGTTTGAAATGCGTAAAATAACGCAAGAAGGCACTGAAAGAGAAGAAGATAAAAGTCATCAACAGAGTTGGAGATGGGGCGAATTGCCCAGTTTACCTCCAGAACCAGTGCATGCACCTCACAGAAGTTCACTGGGTTCATCGAGCGCTGTTACTCAACCAAATAGTAGTTAGTACAATTAACAGAAGGAAAATATATAAAGATAATAAGAATCGTAAAAGTAAAAAAACACAAAAATATCATATTTTGCTTGATCAGACTCGGCGTAAATTTTTTAAATTTATTTTTGTGTGTAAAGATACTAAAAAAAAAACTTGTATATATATATATATTATAATAAAATTTTATGTACTCTAGACTAACTATATCAATTGTTGTTTCAATAACAGTGGAAGCACACCGATCTATGCTCAGTGGTATGTTGTCGTTTATGCGGAAAACTTCTCGTATGAGACGTAATCCAGAATCAGAAGGGATTTATCTCAGTGATCTTAACGCCGACGAACTGGACCCGGAAGTTGCAGCACTCTATTTTCCTTCTTCTCACAGAAGCCAAGCGACAGTTAAAGGTAAGCAATTCGTTTTAATAAATTATTACACATAATTATTACACATAATTACACATAATACTCGTATTCATAGATGGGAAAGGAGTAGACGAAGAAGATACCGAATCAGGTAATGGACCAAGTTTGCCACAAAGTCCTAACAGCGTTGAAGGAGCTATTGGTGGACCAAAGTCATTAGACAGTGATTTTGAAGAACCGAAACATTCTATATTTGACAGCAACATGAATATTAGTTTATCCTTATGTGGTGGCTTAGATTCTGAAACTGGTCCATCCAAAGAAGTTTTCCATCAAAATTTACTGCATTTCGAAGATATCTGCTCAGATCCAAAATTGTATGAAAATCCAAATTTAGTTGTAAAAATTAATGGAAAATTCTACAATTGGTCTACTGCTTGTCCAATTGTAATGACTTATGCTGTGTTCCAAAGACATTTACCGCAAAATACAATCGAAAATTTATATGCTCAATGTATGCCATTACCAATGCACGAAGAGAAGAAACAAGAAAGCAACGACAAACCTGAAAGCCGTAGTGGTTATAGTTCGTGGTTTTCATGGAGACGTTCTGCACAACCACCCAAAAAATCTCAGGAACTTAGTCAGGGTAAGATTCAAGACTTTTCTCTTTAACTTTATCTCTTATTTTTCGAGTAGCGTCTAAACTGTCGTTTCTTATGTATATTGTAGCTGATGGATCTGTTGTACAATTATCGGAACAAATGGAAACCAAAGAACATACTCCAATTGATGAAACTGCAAATAAAGAATTAAAGATTGATCAGAACGTAGAAACTATAGCGACAGTGATGGAAACAGTGGAACAGTCTGCGAAATTAACAAAAGACATCGTCCAGACTAAGAAAAGTCGCGACAGAGACGGTGAAGGTTACAGCGGTAGTGAAGATTCCGACAGTAATCAGAACGAATCCCAAGGAGTGAAGATACCTATAGAAAGAAGATCATATTACGAATCTACTGAAAAATATCGTAAAACTTTGAGATTATCATCAGCACAGATAGTACGTAAAAGATTTGTAAAATGACGACACGGATAAATTTTTATAATGCTTATATAGTTGTATTTATTTATTTATTTATTTTGTATTATTATCTTGTGTGCAGGCAAGCCTTAATTTAAAAGACGGAGCTAATGAAGTAGTTTTTAGTGTAACTACAGCTTATCAGGGTACAACACGTTGTAAGTGCCACATTTACAAGTGGAAGTGGGACGACAAAATTGTTATCTCTGATATAGATGGAACTATCACAAAATCTGATGTATTAGGCCATATTTTGCCAATCGTTGGTAAAGATTGGGCTCAATCTGGTGTTGCTCAGCTATTCACAAAAATTAAAAATAATGGTTACAAATTGCTATATCTTTCTGCAAGAGCCATTGGACAAGCTAAAGTTACAAGAGAATATTTGAAAAGCATTAGACAGGGAGATCTGTCACTCCCTGACGGACCACTGCTTTTAAATCCAACGAGCTTAATTTCAGCATTCCATCGTGAAGTTATAGAAAGAAAACCCGAAGAATTTAAAATATCCTGCCTTAGTGACATCCAAGCTTTATTCCCGGAAGGTTCAAGACCTTTCTATGCTGGTTACGGAAATCGAATTAATGTAAATATATATTTTTATTTTAATTTACAATAATTTCCCGAAATATTCTTCCAAAGCATTGTGCAGTAAATATTTTGTACTTTCATTTTCTAGGATGTTTGGGCGTATCGAGCTGTCGGAATTCCGACAATGCGTATATTTACTATAAACCATAGAGGTGAATTAAAACATGAACTAACGCAAACATTCCAATCTTCGTAAGTATCTACTATTGTTACTATTTTATATTCGTTTATTATTGTATTAGTAGACAAACAGAATCACGCAAACGTAGTGCTCAATTTAATTGATTATTTTAATTAGTTTATTAGCATATTAGCATTTAATTAATCTCTTTTTTGTCATGTTTTTTATGCAAAATTGTAAGATGATATGAACATGTTATTCTAGAAGCGAATAGACATTCGTATTTTGTTGCATCTTCATACGTTACTTTCAGAAATTACGTATGTACGCTAGGCTTTCTCTAAAAGAACGATGATTGACTTTTTAAATAATATTATTTCTGATTTTGGTGTAAAAGAAGTTTGATATTTGTATTGCATCTAGTTTGTAAGGAAGAAACAAGATATTTTACAGAAAAGGAAAATTGGTTTCAGAAAAAGATATTGATACATATTTAGGTCGGATATTTCTATGCTTGCAGTTACGCATGTCAGTGCAATATCATCAATGATTTGTTCCCGCCACTGCCCATGTGAAACACCTACTGATGGCGGCACAACCATAGCTGTTTTATTCTATTAATCCAATTGATAATGTTTCGATGATGATCTTTACAAAACAGTAGATTTGTGCCATTGGTCCTGTCTCTTTATTTGATACATATAGATTTGCTACCTCGTAATAGGAATATTATTTTATGCGCGGTACTTTTTTTTAAAATATTTAGTGATGTTTGTAGACACATTATTACAAGCTATGTCGCAAGATCGATTACAAGATATATGTAACGCAATGTGTCTCAATATATAATTATGTAAATGTTTATCATAGTGATAAACGCATATCATCGTTGAAGCGCAGTTAAATCTTTCCAATGGCAACTTTTATTCGTTTCATAAAAGTAGAAGTTTAATTTATTTCTTTAATTATATAATATTATTAATATTATTAGTATGCTTTGAGGTATTTGGTTGTGCAAGAACTCCTACCTATCTTCTTATGATTCTTATAGGGTAAGCACTAGTTATTACACAATTGTTTTTTGTCATTTCCATCCTCGTTCATCTTCAGTAGCTTTAATGTAGACTCATCATCTTAAGTGTTATACGGGTGGAATGAAGTACTTACGAATTAAAATCAATAACTTTTTCTTAAGTCATTGATATTGACATTGATTTATTTGCGTGAAGTTTTCACAAAATAAAGACTACGTGTATTATCAACGTATATATGGTAAAATAATTTTTACTTTTTTTTTGTTTGTTTATGCACGATCATTCAACCAAGTACTTCGAACATATTACTATAGTGTGTGTAGCTAATTTCATTAACATTGAAAGTAAAGGAGAATTGTTAAGCATTTCGTTAAGTTATAAACATTTGCAAACTTATGTTTCTTTTTTTTAACATAACAAGTTCAAATCAATTTTTAATCTAAACGTAGTGCTTACCATTATATGTACATACATACATATATCAGCATGCTAAAAAGAAGCTATAGGTCATAATGAAAAGAAAGAATTTTATTATATATCTATATGTATAATGATTCTTATTCTCTGCAATGAAACTATGCATTTGGCGTTTACCCCAGATTCTGTTTTTCGATTTTTACTTTTATTTTTAGCAAACACGCAGTATATATTTCAATAAATTCAATGCATCTAATTTGTTCGTATTATCTTTTCTAGATACTCAAACATGAGCTTTATCGTCGATCATCTTTTCCCAGCCTGGAGAGAGGATGCTGCGGATGAATTTAGTAATTTTGCGTATTGGCGAGACCCAATACCGGAAGTACCATCGCTCGAAGAACTTTATGCTCAAAGACAGATCATCTAAGTGAAAATACTTTATAATTTTTACTCCAAACAAGAAACGGATATACTTTATTTATAATTCGATTCTACTGATCATCTTTTATATCTCGTATGTTGAGTATGACACATTCAGACGTAGGATTCTTGGACTTTCAAATCGATGAGACTCTAAAGTAGGTTTATACCATGATTGTAGGCTGTAATAATTAAATTTCTATCGATTATCGATCGCAAGATCTTAAACAACATTAAATGCGCATAAAAATAACTTATCATCAATATAAACGATGCATAAATTAGAATGTAAGAAGAGTAATCTGTGTTTCACAATCAAATTTAATCACATTCCAATTCTCATAGAATAATAGGATTCTTTTTTTCACTTTCCAATAACATTAAAAATTAGTTTTCAGTGTAATTTATAATTATAAATTATAATTATACTCAGAGAATAGAGCACGATACCAGTGCCTCTTATATAACAATTAAAGGACTCATCGTATCATTATATGCTTCAAGAGTTCAAAGAAAATCGCTTACTAACTCTGTGCTTAAGATAATCCGTAAATTTTTTCACTTATACATTATGTTGTTGATCTGTAATCAACAGCGTGTATACAATACCGATGAGTAATACAGTGATAAACATGCGTATAAAATGATTCATTGATGCGTTTACAGACAATATATATGTTAAAAAAGTTTGTTTATTATTAACAAAAAATAGTATACGTGTGCTTTACAACTAGTTCTTTTTTTTAACATTATATTTTGTTCCATTTCATAACAAATTTCTGATGCTTAGAATCATTTGATCATATATAAAAGTCTATTGTATTATAATTTAGATATTTATATATTACTTTAGCAGATATATTTATCGTTAAAGAAATCCTTATTTATTTTTATATAAGATCTCTGTTAAATTAGTGTGCTGTGAAGTTGCCATATTTTAGAATGTAATCATTTGTGTATTGTGATATAATTCGAACAAATTACTAACGAGGTCAGGACGATAACAGTGTATAAAAGCAAATTTATTATTTACACTAATAATGAAGAAACGTTTCTATATGTAGTTTCCTATATGAAGTTACTATTATTCCAAACTATGTTCCATTTTGTAGCGCAGGCGCACCGTTGAATTTTTTTTCTTTTTCTTTTTTCTTAATGATAATATTCTATGCCTATGTCTTTCAAAATACATTCAAAAGATAGTTAAGTATAAAGGTTGTTAGTAAAATAGTACAGATTACTAATTTTTGTTAATGAAAATACTACAATAACATGCGAGAATGATAATTTTAATAATTTTGAACAATTATCAGTGACATGTAAAGGTGTAATTGTGTTCTACCAAAGAAAATAGAATCGAAAATATTTTCATTTTAGAATATATTTCGTATTTAAAATATTGTACTGTTAGAAATATGACGTAAGAGATATATTATTTGAAATAATTATAGTAAAAAACATCGATTTCCTGACATGAACCAAATGATGATAGTGCTACACGCAAACTACTTGATCATGCAGTATTGTATTCTAATTACATTTAATTTAACGCAAAACATTTTTTGGTTAATTACAAATGATTTCATGAAAAAAAAAGAATGAGAAATAATGAAAAAAAAAAAAAAAAA